GCGCCAGGCGTCGTCAAGGCGGGCAAAGCAGCGGCGCTCAGTGTGAAACCGCCCGCATGTCTTGCCCGCACGGGCACCCGTGCGAATGACATACGGGCAGGTGTCACTACCCTCGCCCGCCCCACGCTGAACCAACCACTCACGGAGCTGCTGAGGCGTCTGAGTCTCACTCCGACGCTGCTGCTGCTGGCCCCGACCGCCACCAGGGCCTCCACGCTGAGGTCCAGACCGACCACCACTGGTCCCACCGCCTCCACTGCCGCCACCTCCTCCGCTGCCTCCACCGCCGCCACCAGAGCCTCCACCTCCGCCACCGGTCCCACCGCCGCCACCACCTCCACCGCCTCCGCCTCCTCTACCGCTGCCCCCACTGCCACGCCCACTGCCACCTCCACCACCACCGCTGCCTCCTCCACTACCCCGGCCACCCTTGCCCTTGCTGTTGCGGCGCTTCGTACTAGTTGAAGCAGCACCGACGTCCTCAGGAACAGAGACGTCTGCAGCAGCAGCAGAGGCGAAGGAGGAGGAAAGGGGGGAGGGGGAGCACCCCTCAAAGAAGGGTGAGCGCGGGGTGCCACGAGCAGCACCTACAGCAACTGCACTAGTCTCAGCTGCGAGGAGATGCTGCTCGAGGAGGTCAACAGTGAGGGAAGTGGGGTCGAGGGTGAGGAAGTGGTCCCTGACATAGCGAAGGGAGTCAGGGAGGCGAGTGACTATGAAGTAGAGGGTGATGAACATGGGGGGCTGGTTCGTGGGAAGGAACTCAGCAGGAACGGTAGCGCGGTAGCGAGCGTCGCTAGTGCGCAGGTGGGTAACCAGGTCCGCTACTGTGGCAAAAGCCGACAGCTCAGGGAACAGGTAGGGCAGTAGCAGTCTGCCAAGAGCAGCAGTGGCAGGGGAGGAGTAGCGAGCAACGACAGCGTCGTACAAGGCCTGTGCTGTCCTGTGCTCGCCAAAGTGAGCACATTCTGTTGCGGGCAGGTGGTTGCGAATGGCCAAGCGGGCAGTAGCGTCACGAGAGAGCCACTGGGAACGAGTCGAAACGTCAGCTGCGGCGGGAGGGGCTGGAGCGGCACCGGACACGAGGTCAAACAGCGAGACACTGTCCCGACTGTCGCTCAGTAGGTACAATTGCAGATCGTCGTGCCACGTGTCAATTGCTACAGGTCTGCCCTCCGGGTCGAACGGGAGAACCCGAAGCAACGCCATAGGGGCAGAGGAGCCTGGGGGCCGCGTGGCCAAACAAGGGGCCGAGGGGCCTAGGGGGCCGAGGGGCCAAACAAGGGGCCGGGGGGCCGGGTGCCGGTCTCTGAGGTGGGGCCGAGTGGCCTAGGGGCCGCGGGGCCAAACAGGGGGCCGGGGGGCCTAGAGGGGGCCAAGGGGCCTAGGGGGCCGAGGGGCCAAACAAGAGGCCGGGGGGGCCGGGCGCCGGTCTCTGAGGTGGGGCCGAGGGGCCTAGGGGCCGCGAGGCCAAACAAGGGGGCCGGGGGGGGGCCTTGGGGGGGCCGAAGGGCCTAGGGGGCCGAGGGGCCAAACAAGGGGCCTAGGGGGCCGAGGGGCCAAAGTAGGGGCCGGGGGGGCGGGTGCCAGTCTCTGAGATGGGACCAAGGGGCCTAGGGGCCGCGGGGCCAAACAAGGGGCCGGGGGAGGCTTGGGGGGGGCCGAGGGGCCTAGGGGGCCGAGGGGCCAAAGTAGGGGCCGGGGGGCCGGGCGCCAATCTCTGAGGTGGGGCCGAGGGGCCTAGGGGCCGCGGGGCCAAACAAGGGGCCTGGGGGGCCTTGGGGGAGGGCCGAGGGGCCTAGGGGGCCGAGGGGCCAAACAAGGGGCCTAGGGGGCCGAGGGGCCAAAGTAGGGGCCGGGGGGCCGGGCGCCAGGCTCTGAGGTGGGGCCGAGGGGCCTAGGGGCCGCGGGGCCAAACAAGGGGCCGGGGGGGCCTTGGGGGGGGGCCGAGGGGCCTAGGGGGCCGAGGGGCCAAAGTAGGGGCCGGGGGGCCGGGCGCCAGGCTCTGAGGTGGGGCCGAGGGGCCTAGGGGCCGCGGGGCCAAACAAGGGGCCGGGGGGGCCTTGGGGGGGGGGCCGAGGGGCCTAGGGGGCCGAGGGTCCAAACAAGGGGCCTAGGGGGGCCGAGGGGCCAAAGTAGGGGCCGGGGGGCCGGGTGCCAGTCTCCGAGATGGGGCCGAGGGGCCTAGGGGCCGCGGGGCCAAACAAGGGGCCGGGGGGGCCTTGGGGGGGGCCGAGGGGCCTAGGGGGCCGAGGGGCCAAAGTAGGGGCCGGGGGGCCGGGCGCCAATCTCTGAGGTGGGGCCGAGGGGCCTAGGGGCCGCGGGGCCAAACAAGGGGCCTGGGGGGCCTTGGGGGGGGGGGGGGGGCCGAGGGGCCTAGGGGGCCGAGGGGCCAAACAAGGGGCCTAGGGGGCCGAGGGGCCAAAGTAGGGGCCGGGGGGCCGGGCGCCAATCTCTGAGGTGGGGCCGAGGGGCCTAGGGGCCGCGGGGCCAAACAAGGGGCCTGGGGGGCCTTGGGGGGGGGCCGAGGGGCCTAGGGGGCCGAGGGGCCAAACAAGGGGCCTAGGGGGCCGAGGGGCCAAAGTAGGGGCCGGGGGGCCGGGCGCCAGGCTCTGAGGTGGGGCCGAGGGGCCTAGGGGCCGCGGGGCCAAACAAGGGGCCGGGGGGGCCTTAGGGGGGCCGAGGGGCCTAGGGGGCCGAGGGGCCAAACAAGGGGCCTTGGGGGGGGCCGAGGTGCCTAGGGGGCCAAGGGGCCAAAGTAGGGGCCGGGGGGGCCTTGGGGGGGCCGAGGGGCCTAGGGGCCGCGGGGCCAAACAAGGGGCCGAGGGGCCAAGGGGGGGGGGGCGAGGGGCCTAGGGGGCCGAGGGGCCAAACAGGTACAGGGCCGGGCGCTGGGCAGGTACAGGGCCGGGCACGAGGCTAGGTACGGGCCGAGCGACGGGCTAGGTATAGGCCGGGCGACGGGCTAGGTACGGGCCGGGCGCAGGCACGAGACGAGGCCGGGCGCGGGCTAGGTACGGGCCGGGCGACGGGCTAGGTACGTGCCGGGCGCGGGCGTCGAAGTTGACGGGGCCAGCGGGGCCGAGGCGACGGGCTAGGTACGGGCCGGGCGACGGGTTAGGTACGGGCCGGGTGACGGGCTAGGTACGGGCCTGGCGCGGGCGACGAAGTTGACGGGGCCAGTGGGGCCGAGGTGACGGGCTACGTACGGGCCGGGCGACAGGCTAGGTACGGGCCGGGCGACGAGCTAGGTACGGGCCGGGCGCGGGCGACGAAGACGACGGGGCCAGCGGGGCCGAGGCGACGGGCTACGTACGGGCCTGGCGACGAGCTAGGTACGGGCCGGGCGCGGGCGACGAAGTCGACGGGGCCAGCGGGGCCGAGGCGACGAGCTAGGTACGGGCCGGGCGACGGGCTAGGTACGGGCCGGGCGCGGTCGACGAAGTCGACGGGCTAGGTACGGGTAGTGCAGTAGGTGGTGGGCCCATTGAGACTAGGTCCTAAGACTTAGTTGCTCTTAATACGATGTTAGAATCTTAGGTGAGAATGATTGACTAGGAAGCAAGGAAGGGTACAAGTAGAATGTCGAGAGAATTCTGTACCCCCTAAGGCTAAACCCACTATAGCCTAGACAAATGTAAACACATGAACTAAGCCTAGATATAACTAAGCATATATGTTTGACATTCATTCGGTGTCAGATTACGAACGAGAACTGTGTATGCAGTCAGCGACGCCGATCGAAAAGTGGCCTGTTGAAGTGGTGACCCGTGGGATGGAAAGGGTGCTGTGCCGTCGAACAGTTGCCAGAACCCCGCGGTCTGAACAAGAAGCTCAAATTCAAAGCTCCGGGTATAGAAGTCTTGACCGTTAAAAGGCACTGTCGTTTTAATTTTTTTTGGGTTTGCAGAAGCGGGAAGATAATTTCCGGTACCGTCAGCTGATTGTAGCTGATAAAGTGATGGCATCTGTGACCCTTGTGGTGCTTGTTGTCCAGCAGGAACGAAAGAGAAGGAGTTATTCGACCCGTCGCTTCCCTGTGGCATCTGTCCATGCTGATAACTGGAGCCATCAAGGCTCATAGGAGTTGGAAACATTTGGTTAAGTGACAAGACGGCAGCATTGACACGCTGTTGAAGATTTGTTGGCTGGTAAGCACTTTGATATTGATAAGGTCCAGTTGGTACGAAACTGGACTGTTGTCCTGGTTGACTAGAAGAACCAGTGACTGCAGCTGCAGCTGTTGTGGCTGCTGATGCTGCTGTTGCTGCGGCTGCTGTCGATGATGCCGCTGCTGCAGTTGTGTGTACGGGCTGACTGCTCAGTGGCATGCCGTACATCGGTTGTTGCTGTTATTGTTGTTGATGTTGTTGCTGCAGATGAGAATTGTCAGCAACTGGAGACGCTGTTGGGCGTGATGGACTCGTAACAGAAGAGCCGTTGTTGGACCGTGGAGATCCAGACATAGTTGCAGAGTATGTAGTTGGAAGCTTGTAGTATCCTAAGACGCTCGCAATACCATGTTAGAATTTGAAGTGTTTGAATAGGATCGTACTACCTAGGATGGTAGCTCCCTGTCGTAGCGGAAGTCTTATATGAGTTAAAGCCAGTTATGAAGGCTTTGTCTGGACTTAATAAAAACCCATGTAGTGATATGTTTCAGGATCAATGTCTCTGAAATCAGATATATTATAAAATGACAAGCATACAGAATATATAGCTAGAGTAAAGTACCTGTTCGTCTACTGTACTGTGCTATTCCTATTCTGAAACGGTACGTAACTTTTCGCGAGGTCTATAGCTACGTGCTGACGTCATCCTAGGGCGCGTAGCGCTTTGCTTACGTCAGCCTATCGGTACTTTACTGTACTACACGAATATCCTTGAAGTGCTTAAGTCTCGATATTATCTCAACACAAAGATCCTAAGGCTTCAGTCAGCAAAACAAAACTCACTCAACCCCTTTCACGTACTACCAGGTTGGTTTGTTGTCTTCATCCCTACCCTTGCCACCCCCCTCCCGTCCCATGCGACTTGCGAATCATGAGCTTCAACCCCCTCACCCCTCCATCACCACCACCACCAGGAACACCGCCAGAACCACCAACACTAGCACCGCCAACACCAGCCCCGCCAACACCAGCAGAACTAGCACCACCACCAGCCCCAGCAGCACTTTCAGAAGCACCGACCGGCGCTGCTTCTAGCTGCTGCCTGCCGTCTGCCTCCTGCCTACCAGCCGTGACAGAGGCATCCCAAGGCCTCCTTTTGGGCCCATCCTTGCCGGCCGCCCCCTCCCCATCTCCATCCCCACTGTCCCCCCTCTTCCCCTCCACATCTCCCACGCTATCCCCCTTCCCACCCCCCTTCCCATCCTCTTTCCCTTCCTCACCTTTCTCAACACTCCTCCCTTCTTCGCCCCTCCCCCTCCCACTATTGCTACCTCCACCCCCCCCCCTGCCCACCCCCCCTATAAGAACATCCAACCCCGCCAAACCCCCTATACTGCCACCCCCATGCGTTTGTTTCTCTTCCTGAGACAGCTTTTGAGGCGCTTCAAGGCCAAGACCCTCCGTACTAGCACCACTCCTGCGCATCTTCTTTACTTCCTTATCTTCCTTCCTTCTCTCCATTGTTTCCCCTTCCTCCGCCCCCACTTTTTCCTCCCCATGCTTCTCCCCAGCTTGCTCCTTCCCCTCACCATCCACCTCCTTTCCCCTGTCTCCATTGTTATCCTTACAGTCTTCCTCCTCCTCTGCTTCCCTCTGCACCTCCCCTTGCCTTTTCCTCTGCCCCTCTCTTTTTTGTGCTCCACCCTCCTTGGTCAAACCATCCACACCCTTGCCCCTCCCCTCCTCACCCTCCTCTTGCAAGCCTCCCTCACTCCTCTCCTGAACCTCCTTTTGCATCACACCAATCACAGCGCTCTTTCCTCTCCTTGCTTCCTCCACCTCTCCCTCCTTCCTCTGCCTTCCCTTGGCCCCTTCCCTCCCCTCCTCCTCCTTCCCTCCCTTCCTCCTCCGTTTGCTTCGCGTCACCTCTTCATGAAAATCATCGCTCTTTCCTGCGTCCCCTCCTTTCCTCTCTCCCAACTCATTAGACTTCTCTGCTGAAACTCGTTCCTTCATACTTCTCTCATTGTTTCTTCTCTCATCGTTCCTTTTCTCCTCCCTTGCCGAACCATCCTTCTCCCCCTTTTCGCCTCTTTCTTTTGCTTCCTCATGCTCTCCCTTCCTCTTCCTCCTCTCCCTCCCCTCGCCCCTCCTTTCCCCCTCGTGTCGCCCCTCCTGCTCTTCCACCCTCACACCTTCCCCTCTCTTCCTATTCAGCCTTATTCTCACTCGAATCCCCTCTTCCCCTCTTCCCTCACCCCCTTCCTCTCCCTCCCCCACCTTTTCCTCCTCTCCTTTGCCACTCTTCCATCTCCTCCTCTTCCTCTCCCCTCCCTCTTCCAGTTCCCCCACCTCCTCCTCCCCTACCACCTTCCTCCTCTTCCTCTTCCCTAAACCCTCTTCTCCTTCCCCTTGCTCCTTTCCAGCAGACCCTGCAACATACCCCAACCCCACCCTCCTTCCCTTTCTACCAACACCATCACCACCACCCAATCCTCCTCCCCGTTCCCCCCCATTCTCCTCTCCCTCACTCTCCGAAAACGGAGGAGGAGCCTTGTCCCTGCGCTCATCCTCCTCCTCATCAACTCCCTCTTGCCCCTCTCCTCTCCCCTCCCACCCCGCATCCCCTTCCTGCTGCTCCTCCCTCAGATGAAGCGAAGCCATTCCCCTCTTTCTCTGCCCCCTCTTTCGAGACCAAGTGCTTTCCTCCGCCTCCTCTGCTGCCCCCTCCCCGCCTGCCTTTGCTCCTCCCTTGCTTTGCTCCACGCGGCGTTTGAATCGAGACCAGAGCTCTTGAGTCGCCTCTGCAGCTGTTGCGACCTGCAATGCAAAAGGGAGAGAGAAAGGCATCAGCCACACCACAACTTGAAAAGTCGACACTCTTCCGCCAAAGGGCCAGAGCTCTTGAGTGGCCTCCTGCTGCCGTTACGACCTGTGGTGAGGGAAAGAGAAAGATATTACCAATGTCACATGACAACTTCAGAGGTCGCACTCTTTCCACCTTGTATCAATATACCAGAGCTCCTGAGCGGATAATTGAGGAGCCTAAAAAATCGCCTGAGTGGCTCGTGCTGCCTTGCGACCTGTGATGAGGGGCACAGACAGACACACAACACCACAAGCTGACGTTTCAAAGCAGCACTTGATAGGGCAGAGGAGGAGCAACACAAGGACGCAGCAATGCAAGGGACAAGGGCGCAGCAATGCAAGGGACAAGGGCGCAGCAATGCAAGGGACAAGGGCGCAGCAATGCAAGGGACAAGGGCGCAGCAATGCAAGGGACAAGGGCGCAGCAATGCAAGGGACAAGGGCGCAGCAATGCAAGGGACAAGGGCGCAGCAATGCAAGGGACAAGGGCGCAGCAATGCAAGGGACAAGGGCGCAGCAATGCAAGGGACAAGGGCGCAGCAATGCAAGGGACAAGGGCGCAGCAATGCAAGGGACAAGGGCGCAGCAATGCAAGGGACAAGGGCGCAGCAATGCAAGGGACAAGGGCGCAGCAATGCAAGGGACAAGGGCGCAGCAATGCAAGGGACAAGGGCGCAGCAATGCAAGGGACAAGGGCGCAGCAATGCAAGGGACAAGGGCGCAGCAATGCAAGGGATAAGGGCGCAGCAATGCAAGGGACAAGGGCGCAGCAATGCAAGGGACAAGGGCGCAGCAATGCAAGGTACAAGGGCGCAGCAATGCAAGGGACAAGGGCGCAGCAATGCAAGGGACAAGGGCGCAGCAATGCAAGGGACAAGGGCGCAGCAATGCAAGGGACAAGGGCGCAACAATGCAAGGGACAAGGGCGCAGCAATGCAAGGGACAAGGGCGCAGCAATGCAAGGGACAAGGGCGCAGCAATGCAAGGGACAAGGGCGCAGCAATGCAATGCGAGTGAGAGGGCAATGCAACTCACACTAGGAGCGTGGCCCAGGCAGGCAGGGCACGTATAGGAGAGCTCTGAGTTGGTCTGATACTGCATGTACTGCTCATCGCTGTACGGAGGGCACACCACAGAATCGACAGAATGCATTGCGTGTCTCAATGTGAGGAATTTCTTATTTTTGTTGAAAAAAGTGTGGAAAAGGGTGTGTCCAATTCTGCGTCAACTGGTGATCAATGCGTTCCAACTTCCAGATTAGCAGTCTTGAACATGTCAAGTTTGTTTCCATGTATAATTTGATTCTTCCTTGTTAAAAATAGACAAATGAGAAGGAAAAGTAAATCACTTGTGGAAATTGATGAATAGATTGGGATGGTCAAGAAGTGTTGGGGAAATGCAACGCAGATGAGAGTAGAAAGGGAAAAGGGGGGAAAAGGGAGGGAGAGAGAGGGGGTGTGATTGCAATATAATACTGTCACATGCACAAAGGTGTGTGTCCAGGTACAGAAATGGCACCCTTTACCCACCTGATATTGTCACATGCGCAATGCACCCAGTGCTCGCATTTGTCACAACACACCATTGGCGTTGGCTCTGAGTCCCGATACACCTGCGGTGAGATGAGGGGGTTGAGATACGGATGCATGTGTATTGTCGACACATTAGACTCACACGCAAACACACATGCAAACACACATGCAAACACACGTGCAAACACACATGCAGACACACATGCATACACCCAGTCAGAGTAGGAATGAGAGCCTGGAAATACGTGATGACGATCAAATGCATACAGAGGCATTTGTTTCAGTCAGTCACTGTCCGTCACGGCCCAGCTGCACCCATCCCAGCTGCCCCGCTCCACCTACCCTCAAGCAAACGGCAATGATGCTTCCTCACGACCAGCATACCCCACCAGTACTTACCTCCCCCAGCAGCATCTACCCCCCAGGGGCGCCCACCCCAGCAGCACCCACCTCAGCAGTACATACCTCCCCCAGGTGCACCTACCCTGAGGCAGACGGGGCACCTACCCTGAGGCAGACGGGGCAGTGCTTCTTCTTCACGAAGAGGCGGCCACAGGCGTCACACAGCATGTAGTTGAAGAACCAGCTGCGCCCCCGGGGGACAAGAGGAGATGCGAGGCGGGACAGGGAGGGGAGGGGAACGGGGACAGGGGGCAAGCTGTGTTGCAGAAGACGCACATTTAGACACAAGACGCATGGCGTGTTTTTTTTCCGGTCTGACTGAAAAAAAAAATTGCCCGTGCGCGAATTTGACATTCGCCATTTTGACGCCAAGGTCGAAATCGCGAAATCCCCCCCCCCCCCCCCCCCCCCCAAAACGAAATCGACCGTCAAAACCAGCCCAAAACCCAAAAACGGAAACCCCCCCTACCAAAATTTACGCCACATCCTACTCAACCGCACAAGATCTACTCAACCCAACCACAATTGCATACCACCAAGAGTATATTGGAGCACAAGTGCTTCATTTGTGCTCCTCCACTTTAGTTCAACCAAATTCTCCTCGGAAAACCCTAAGGGGTTTAGCTCTTAGTAGACCTAACTTATGGCTTCTCCTAGTTCTTCCTCCATCTCCTTGTATGTGACGTGGTGAAACTTCTCCTAAGGGGGAAAACACTTGGTACGGGAATTTTTTTGGCTGAAATGTGAATTATGTAACCCCCCCCCCCCCCCATGCCCAATTGGGGTTTTTTTTGGGCCTGCCCGAACCTTTTTTTGGTCTGCCCGGGCTTGCGTCTGTATCTGCGTCTAAAAAGCCCAAAAATGTGTCTTGCGTCCTGGACGCAGCGTCTAGACGCACTGCGTCCAGGACGCAAGACGCGTCTTCTGCAACACAGCGGGCAAGGCGTCACACAGCAAGTAGTTGAAAAAACAGCTGCGGGGGGTGGGAAGAATGGGCAGACAGGACGAGAGGATGAAAAAAACGGGAGGAAGAAAATGGCAAGGCGTGACAGAGCATGTAGTTGAAAACCAGGTGGGGGGGTTGGGAAGGGGAAGGGGGTGGGAGGATGGGGAGAGGAGGAGGGGAGAGGAGGGGAGAGGAGGAGGGGAGAGTGAGAAGCGTGAGAGAGCATGTGGTTGAGGAACCGGCAGAGGGGGTGGGGGGGAGAGGTAAGCTGAAGGGGGAAAGAGGAGTGGGGCAAGAGGAGGAGGGGGGAAGAGGAGGAAGGGGGGAGAAAAGGCGGGACAAAGCATGTGGTTGAAAAACAAGCTAGGGGGAGAAGTGGTAAGAGAGGGGACGGATGGTGAGATAGGGGATGGTGGAAGAACCAGAGGAGGGACTGGGAGAAAAGAGGGTAAGGGGAGAGGAGGGAGGGGAAGGGGGGAAGGGATAGAGAAGGCGACAGGGCATTTAGCTGAAGGAGCAGCTGACTGAGGGAGATGTGAGACGGGGAGACAGGGGGGAGAGGAGAAGGGGGGGTGCGGGAAGAGAAGGGGGAGTGGATTAGTGTGATGCCAAGAGGAAAGGGTTCAGGGTTTCGAGGTCACATGGCAAGATGGGAAAAGTGATTAGATTGGGATAGGGTGGTTCGAACAGAAAGTGGAAGGTGGACAGAGAGGGTGACAAGTGGGAACAAAGGGAAGACGAGACGAACACGCACCCTTTCCTCCCACAACCCTCACCTTGCACCCAGGTTTTTTCTCATCTCTCTCCCACACTCCCACCCACCCCCCACAAATCTTCCCTCTCCCTGTTATCCCCATCCCCTGTTGCCTCCAGCCCATCTCCCCACTCCCTGTGATCCCCACGTCTCACCGAGAGGACGTGCCACTGCCCGGCACTTTGGAGCCGCAGCTGTGGCACTGCGTGTGCCTGGGACACAGGAAGGGGCCCTTGAACGGTGACTGGCGGGGTGCAGAGGGGTGCAGGAGGTGCAGAGGGATGAAGAGGCACGTAGAGGGGTGCAGAGGGGAGCAGAGGAAAGAAGAGGCAGGTAAATGGTGCAGAGGGATGCAGAGGGGTGCAGAGGGGTGCAGAGGGGTGCAGAGAATATTGTGAGGAACACCTGCATGGTGTTAGGGCTGCATGAAGCACAGCAGCTCACACACCAACACACTTCCTCAACTACACACTCACTCACACCCCCGCACTCTCACTCACTCACCCACTCGCACTCATTCAACCACAGGCACATGCGCTCACCTTGGTGTGCAGCTGAGTGAACGAGGCATGACGGCCTCTGTCACAGCAATAGTGGCACAGATGGATGAGGGCAGATTCTCCATCTCACTCAATCTCACTCCATCTCACTCTCATCTCAATATCCCGCTCCCACGCGCTCACCTTGGTGTGCAGCAGAGTGCAGGAGGCATGATAGCCCCTGTCACAGGAGGCATGATAGCCCCTGTCACAGGAGGCATGATAGCCCCTGTCACAGGAGGCATGATAGCCCCTGTCACAGGAGGCATGATAGCCCCTGTCACAGGAGGCATGATAGCCCCTGTCACAGGAGGCATGATAGCCCCTGTCACAGGAGGCATGATAGCCCCTGTCACAGGAGGCATGATAGCCCTGTCACAGGAGGCATGATAGCCCCTGTCACAGGAGGCATGATAGCCCCTGTCACAGGAGGCATGATAGCCCCTGTCACAGGAGGCATGATAGCCCCTGTCACAGGAGGCATGATAGCCCCTGTCACAGGAGGCATGATAGCCCCTGTCACAGAAGGCATGATAGCCCCTGTCACATGAGGCATGATAGCCTCTGTCACAGGAGGCATGATAGCCCCTGTCACAGGAGGCATGATAGCCCCTGTCACAGGAGGCATGATAGCCCCTGTCACAGGATGGATGATAGCCCCTGTCACATGATGGATGATAGCCCCTGTCACAGGATGGATGATAGCTCATTCTTACCCTCACTCTTTCTCTAACCCTCACTCTCACACTCTCACCTCCCTCACACGCTCCCATGCGCTCACCTTGGTGTGAAGCTGAGAGCACGGGGAATGATAGCCCCTGTCACAGCGGTAGCAGCAGAGGATGCATGAGGGCCGAGTCTCACCCTCATTCTCTCTCACCTGGACACTCATTTCAATCACTCTTACCCTTGCTCTCACTCTCACTCTCAACCTCATTCGCACCCTGACTCACACTCCCTCACTCCTAACATGTGCTCACCTTGGTGTGAAGCTGAGTGCATGCCGCATGGTAGCCCCTGTCACAGCGATAGCAGCACAGGATGGACGACGGCTCCCCGTAGCGCTGGCAGGCCTGCCATCACATGTCGGGGTTTCGGGTTCAGGGTTTCAGGGTTTAGGGGCAGGCAAAGCAGAGGGGCGGCAAGAAGGTTCAAACATGATCGCAGCAGAGGACGGATGAGGGTTCCCAGCAAGCACAGAGAGGATGGATGAGGGTTCCCAGCAAGCACAGAGAGGATGGATGAGGGTTCCCAGCAAGCACAGAGAGGAGGACCAAGCAAGGTCACAAGAGAGAAAGGATGAGGCTTTGTTTGAGCCGACTCAAAAGACGAGCGCCTGTGGGGCCTGCTAAGGGCATGTGAGACGATACCCCTTGGCATGGCATCATATCGTGCCCACCACCCCCCCCCCCCCCCCCATGCCCCACCCACCCCCCATGCCCCAACCCCATGCTCCATCCCCCATGCTCCGGCTCACCTCACAGCGAATGCACCCCGGACACACCCAGTCCCGCCAGTCCAGGTTGCCTGCGCACAGCAAGGCAGTGGGGAGGAATGTGGGCAAGAGGGGATGTGGGGCACGGGGGGAAGGGCATGGGAGGAATGTGGGGCAACCGGGGGGGGTGGGGGGTGTGGGGCAACCGGTGGGGGGAAGCGGGTCAATGGGTGGAACGAGGGGCAAGGGAGGCGAATTGAAGAAGAGCAAGAAAGGAAAGCAGCAGCACAAACCATGAGCAGTTACGCACACCCTGCCCCACCCACACCCACCCAACCCCACAGCACACAGACGTACCTCTGTTGTCAGCAATGGCAAGAGGCGAGGCAGTGGCAGTGACAGCTGCGGCGGCACTGGGCCCACGGCAGCAAGCGAGTGGCGAGCAAGCAGCACAGGGCACGACATGAGAGCCGCACACGCATTGCATACCACTAGCCGCACCCAGCAGGCACACGGCAGGCACACAGTAGACACACAGCAGACACAGCAGGCAGAAGTACCTCTGTTGTGAGCCATTCCCAGCAGGCAGACGTACCTCTGTTGTGAGCCATTCCCAGCAGGCAGAAGTACCTCTGTTGTGAGCCATTCCCAGCAGGCAGACGTACCTCTGTTGTCAGCCATTCCCAGCAGGCAGAAGTACCTCTGTTGTGAGCCATTCCCAGCAGGCAGACGTACCTCTGTTGTCAGCCATTCCCAGCAGGCAGACGTACCTCTGTTGTGAGCCATTCCCAGCAGGCAGACGTACCTCTGTTGTCAGCCATTCCCAGCAGGCAGACGTACCTCTGTTGTGAGCCATTCCCAGCATGCAGTGGCGGTGGAAGCTGCGACCACACTGGGGGCACGGCACCATGCGAGCAGCTCTCGCACTGCCCTGCTCCTCCTCTCCTCCACACAGCCCACAGCACACACTCCCCTCCCCGCCCTCACTCGCCTCCCTCCCCTTCCTCCCTCTTCTCCCTCTCTCCCCTCTCTCCTTATCCTCTCTTGCAATCCCTCTTTCCGTGTCCCCTCTCTCTCCCTCCTCGTGCTCATATCTGCCTGTCTCATCACCACCCACCCTCTTCATCCCCTCCTCTCCAGCCTTCTCGTGCACTCCCGCTGCTCTCCGTCGGGCCGACATCCTTTCTGCCCCCTCCCCTTTTCTGCTCTCCTCCTCGTCCTCCTTATCCTCCTCCTCCCTTGACTCCTCCTCCCGACCATCCCCACGTCTCTTCCTTTCATCCCCTTCTCCCCTCCTTACAACACCATCGTCCCTTCCCCTCTTTTCTCTCCCCCTCTCCTCAAGCCGCTTCTCCTTCCCTCCCTTCTCTTCCTTCACCTGCACCTGCAGTTCCAACTCGTCACCCCTCCCTCCCTCTCTCCTTTCCCCCCTCGCCATCTCCTCACCACTCCTCTTCCTCTCCCTGCCCCCATGTCGCCTCCTGTCTATCGTACTCTCCCTCCGCATCTCACTCTCCTCTCCCTTGGAGCCCTCTCCTCCTCCAGCTACTCCCTCGCTCACCACTGCACCCACTGCCCCCTCGCCCCTCTCGCCGCCCTCTTCACCCTCATCCGCATGGCTCTCTGCCACAGCTCTATTCTTTCCATCCGTCTCCTCCCCTTCTCCCGCTCTCACTCTCTCCCCCCTCTTCCCCACCAACTCACCTCTCTCCTTCTCACGTTTCTTCCTCCTCCTCCCCTCCCTATGACGTTCCCTCTCTCTCTCACCAACCCCATCCTCCCTTCCCCCTCCTCCCACCCTCTCTCCCTTCCCAGACCTCTCTCCCCCTGGCCTCTCCCACCCTGGCCTCTCTCCCCCTTTAGCAGTCGCCCCAGCCTCTGCCTTTTCGGAGTCTTCTCCTCCATCCTTCACTCCTCCAACCATCTCTGCATGCTTCTTTCCTCTGTCCTTCTCTCCTTCCATATCACCCCTTCCAACCGTTTCTCGCCCCGCCCCAGCAGCCAAAAGCGCCTTGTCCTTGCATGCTGCTGTCACCCTCTCATCAGGTGCCGCCTTGCCAGTATCCACCCCTCCAGACGCCACAGCAACACCCTCAGCGACAGCAGCACCAGCACCAGCAGCATCGGTGTTACTGGCGACCCCTGCTGCTACAGCAGCAGCAGCAGCAGCGGCGGCGGCGGCAATAGCAGCCGCAGCAGCCTTAGACCCACCAACAGGTCTCCCCCTCTTTGCAGGTACAGCTTTATATAACCCCCCTTTTTCTCCCTCCGCCCGCCTCCTTCCCTTCTCATCCTCCCCGTTTTTCTCCCTCTTTCCTCCTCTCCCTCCCTCTCCCCCCTCGTCTTCCCCCTCCTCTCTCCTCGGACCCTTCCCCTTCTCTCTCTCCCGTTTATTTGCTTCTTCCGCCTTTCCCCCTGCCAACCCTCCCTCCCCTCCATCCCCCATCTCTTCCCTCTTGCCTCTCTTCCCAATCTCGCCTTCTTCCGCTCCCATTTCTATGTTTCCTCCTTCCTTTCTCTCCCCTTCCCTTTCTTTCTTTTCTCCCTCCTTCCTCTCCCCTCCATCCTCTTCCCCTCCTGCCTCCCCTCCCTGCCGTCTTATCTCAGATTCACCATCCTTTCCCTTCTCACCACGCCCCCCTTCACTCACACCTACTACCTTCTTCCCTTCAGGAAGCTTCACTTTCACTCTACGCTTTATCTTCACCTTCACTCCAACCTTCCCTCCCTGCCCGCCCATACCAACTCCTTCCACATCATCCTCTCCACCAACACCACCCTCTCCATCGCCTCCATGCTTCCCTCTCGCCGCCATTGCACTGGTGGGTTCCCCTTCCCCATGCACTGCCTTGTGGCCTGAACGGACAATGCTACCACCAGCACCACCAGTGGCACCAGCGGCACCAGCACCATCACCAGCATCACTAGCAGCAGCAGTACCAGCCGCAGCGCCAGCAGCAGCTGCGGTGTCATTACCAGCAGCAACACCAGCAGCAACACCAGCAGCAACACCAGCAGCAACACCAGCAGCAACATCAGCAGCAACACCAGCAGCAGCAACACCGGAACTATCCGTTACAACAGCAGCAGCAGCATCCCTTTTCTTGCGTGAGATTATAATAACTTTCTTTGGCTTTCGCGGCACCGTTTCACTCCCTAGAGGCACTGTAGTCGATCCACTCTGCACTGTAACTGAGTCATTCCGCACTGTAGCTGACTCTGCTTGCGACGCAGGCACTTCAGGTGGTTTTTCAGGTGAAACCAACACAAGAACCTTCCGCTGAGCACCGCCTTTGATTTTGATCGTGCGCCTCCTCTCCTTCACCGACTCAGAGGCAGCCCCAGCAGCGGCATCAGCAGCAGCAGCACCGTCAGACTCCAACCCTGCTGCTGCAAGAGCCGCACTGGCAGATGGGCCAGCAGAAGGTGCTGTAGCCACAGCCGTAGCACGCTTGCCGGGTGTGGAAGGCAAGGGGGGGGCGGCAGGTGCAAGGTGGGGTGCTGCTTGAGCGGGTTTGGAGGAAGGAGAGAGCACAAGCTGTGAATCAGATGAGCCAGCCGCGTGGGCACTAGCAGCACCAGCTACAGCTGCACCAGCAGCGGCACCAACAGCAACAGCGACACGAGCAGGGACAGCAGCAGCGCCCCCCGAAGGATCACGAGCAGAACCAACAGTCTTCCATGCAGCTTTAGCCGCTGCCGCATCAGCAGCAGCAACAGCCGCAGCAGCAGCAGCGAGAAACGGAGGCAGGGGGTCAGAGCTATTGGCAGCAGCAGCAAGAGCAGCAACGACCACAGCAGGCAGCGGCGGGGGGGGCAGCCCTGCAGCAAGAGCAGCAGCAGTGGCCGCTGCATGGGCCCTCGCTGCTTTTGCTGCCGCCCCTGCTTTACCCTTCTTGCTCGCCGCGAGAGCCTTGGCCCGAGCCGACATCTTAGGCTTGGGGGGACGCCTGGGGCCCGGGATTCTAGGCTTGGGAATGCCGTCCCCTGCTGCTGCTGCTGCTGCTGCTGCTACTGCAGGGTGGAGGAGTCCCTGTGGGTGATCCAGCCCCTAGAATCACGTGAGTGTGCATCATCAAGACAAGACAGGAGAGCAGGTGATTGAGACTTTTCAGAGGAACCTTCGCATAATCCAGCTCCTAGGATCACATGGAAGAGAACCAGCAAGGGAAAAGGAGAATATGTCTGAGAATCCTAAGAAATACTCGCTGTACATACATACGTGGTCCAGAGCCTAGAGGGCGAGGTTTCACGTTTGGGTTGAGTGCGTGCATGAGCAAGGGCAAGGGCAAAAGAGCACGTTGAGGACCGTCGAGACAGAAAACGTTCGATGAGACGACAATGTCAAGTGGCTATGGCTAGCAGGAATGTGAATACGGAATCATGAAAAGTTGAGGGGGTTTGGGGGGAGAGGGAGGGAGAGGGGGGGATGTTTGGCAGGGAGGGCGACGGGGGAGAGATGGGAGAAAGGCAGGGCTGCAGTGGAAAAGGTTGGTAAAAGATGGGGGAAACACGCGCTGCGTGTCACACGTACACACCTGCCCACCAAAGGCAGAGTGCCCCCACACTGCCTCCCCCCCACTGCCCCACTCCGAGCCAGGCGTGTAACCAGCTGGGTGGTAACCAGCCATGTGGTAACCAGCGGCAGGAGCTTGTGCGGTTTGCAGGAATGGTTGAACGACCACCCCGCCGTCTGCATGGAGTGGAGGGGAGAGGCAGGCAGGAACGAGGGGAGATGTGGGGTCGAGGGGAGAGGTGGGGATGAGGGGAGAGGTGGGACCGTGGGGATGAGGGGAGATGTGGGGATGATTGGAAAGATGGAGACGAGGGGAGATGTGGGATGAGGGGAGAGGTGGGGATGAGGAAAGACGTGGGGATGAGGAAAGACGTGGGGATGAGGAGAAAGGTGGGGACGAGGGAGAGGTGGAGAAGAAGAGCCTATACGTGGAGCAACGGGAGGGGAGTAGGAAGAAGGGAGCAAGTGCTCTTCATTGCTCTTCATTGCTCCTCATTGTTAGGCACATGCTTTCTTATCCGGCGCGCGGTCTCGGGAGTCTCACCGTCCCAGTCATCCTCGCTCTCAAACGGCGGCACGTCGATCTCCACCATTCCATCGTACAGTAACCCGCTCGTTACAGCATCATCCGTTACAGCATCATTCGCTACAGCAGCGTCCGTCACAGCAGCAGCACCCTCTTCCGCATCCCCTTCCGCCGCCCTCCCCCCTCCCCCTGTCCTCGTCCCCGCCGCCACCCCAAGCTTCCCCCGCTCCCACAGGGACCACGCCAACACAGCCGTCTGCGCGTCCACGTGGCAGGCAGCCAGTGGTCCGACGGACCCGAGAGAGCAGCGACATATGGGCCTCCTGCGGAGGGGAGTTGCGATTTGGATCACAGGGAAGCGGGAGCGTGTGCGGTAAAAACGGGAGTCGTGGCGCGTGGAAAGTATGTCAGAAGGGCTCATAGAGGTTGTAGGAGTTGCATGGTAATACGTTCAAGGTTCGAAACGGTATTCTGTGGTTTTCTATCAATGCCGATAAAGAGTAGAGGAGAAAATAGGATCACACACACGAAAAAATCAAAACAACTGCGCAACAGGAGTACTGAAGACACAATAACGACTAGCCATAATAACGAGTCACAGTAGGAAGTAAATGGTTTAATTCCTTGATAATAGGGTCGGATGGTGCTTGGCGTCATAACGAGAGGCGCCTTACAGCGTGAGCGGACAGCCAACGTGGAAAGTGGCCATACTAAGGGGTGCATCAAACGGAGGTGATTCTAAGCCGCGATCAGCGGCGATCGCTGTCGTGGGCTGCAGGGAGCAAAGAGAACTCCTAGTTGAGAAAGGTCTGTCCTAGTCGCGACACGACAATATTTAGATCTTGTCGCATAAAAGTATCAAGTTTCTCGACCTTTCACAGGTTTCCTACTTGTGGCAGTTGGCGATTGTGTGCGACTGAGGGTTTTTGGAGAAGGTACAGTAACTTTAGGGTGGCTGAAACGAGCTAGGCAGGGCAGGTGGCACCTTAGTACCGTAAGCCCCCGGATAGAAGCGCCCCTGCGGGTTAAAAAAAACACTGTTTTTTAGGGGGTGCGCTTATAATCTAGGATTTTTATAAGCGCCAGCGTTTATATAATGACATTTATGAAATGCATATTTCTTACACCAAATTGTAGATCACGTTGTTGCAATTTAAATCGAGTCGAAACTATACAGGGCTGGAATTGAGAATCTCGCGCCAGTTGGCAGGGAATGATTCCCTGCCAACACACACAGTCAGAATGAGTCAACTTACGCTGCCGACAGCTCATTCTGACTGGACGCGTAGGCAATGAGCCAAGCGAGGTGAAGGGCATCGAAATTCAATAATGTGGGAATGGACAATGTGAGTTTCATTACAACGATTTCAGTACAATTATAGCAAAAACAAACAGAGGGTGGCGCTTATAATCCGTAAGCCTTCAGAAGTGGGCTTATAATCGAGGACCGGATATAAGCGCCGTCATCCTTTTATAAGCGCCGGCGCTTATCCGAGGCCTGCGCTTATATCCGGGGGCTTACGGTATGCTTGGAAAACGGGTACAAGATGCTCTCTTGAGTTCTTGTAAGGAAAATTCCTTTTCCTTACTTCGCGTCCCTGCTTAGCACGTACACCAGTGTTCCCCCCAACAGCACCCCACAGTAATCCGTTACCACTCGCGACATTCGCCTCGACACCATTCCCGCCACAGTTCACGATGCAACCCAACCTCACGGTTCGGTTGGTAACCCGCGCTCCGGACCTCCGCCTTGACAATACCCAACCTCGGCGCCAGGCCCGTCGCGCACCTCAATTCCCACACGTTACCGTTTCCACTGTAGCTTCGCTATATATTCTTCGCTCAAACCTTCGCTCATTGTATCTTGTCTCGATAGTGCAATCCTCGCTCGCTCACTCCATTGCACTCGTAACACTTGGTTATCAGAGCCTACGATCTTCTCTCGGACCGCACCCACACCTTCGCTTCCCAACTATCTCAATTTTTTTGGGGGGGGTAGACGTCTCTCAGTGATCAAGCACCGCCGCTCGTTGTGATCTCTCGTAAGCACGCACGGCCACGACAGAGGCTCTCACTGAGCTTGCCCGACACCCCCGCCATGGCTGAAATCACTCTCGCGACACTGACGCAAGCGCAGCTCGACCGTCTCGTACGCCAACTCGAAGAATCGGCTCTTGAAATCGCCACACTCACGGCGGAACGCGACTCCGCTCGCCAGCAATCGACAGTGAATGCACTGTCGAAACATTACAGCTTTTACATTTGTGTAGGCTATAGTGGGGTAGCCCATAAGGGGTACAACCCAATTAGGGTTAGTACTTGTACCCAACTCTTTCATAGTTCATCCATTCTCGTTCGTTACTTTGACATGCACCAGCACCAACAAACGCACCTGCACAATCAGAGGAGCCGATCGAAATCTCGTCAGGCACACCAACACAGCACGACAGCGTGGGACAACGCTCAGGCGCGGCCAGTGAAGGTGCCGCTCACTCAATGCCTGGCATGGAGAGAAACAGGGCCGCACCAGGCCTGTAGGAGCCCCGCGAAGCCCGTCGGCACGTGAAATTTGCAGCGACAAGCGGCGAGTATGCTGTGAGAATAGTACGAGGAAATGGTGTGGACTAGAAAAGAGATGGGTACAAGTATGAAAACCTAGAAAAGCTGTACCCCATAATGTCTACCCCACTACAGCCTATACAGGCTATATCATATATGTTTGACATACCCCCATAAGCAAAGTGGGGGAGAACAAGAGGTCAGAAGACCAGTCAAGCAAAGCAAAGCAAGCTCAGGGTGGATCACGACGTCACCACACATTCTGAGCACAAGCACAAGGCCATAAGGCCAGTTCACATGCAGAGTTATATATCAAGGTGAACAAGCAAGACAGTGATCTCAACCTAGCAAGGGTAAGTATGCAGGTGCAGGTATATATAGATCACAATACAAGCAAAGTCAAGAAGTGAGCAAATGAGGCCAAGTAGGCACAAGACCTAGCATAGTACAAAAACGCCGATGATCACAAGGCTGAAGTGCCTTGGTAAAGATATCAGCAGTGTTGGCCCGAGTGGCCACGTAAGCAAGACGAAGCTGACCACGCTGCTGCAACTCTCGAGCAAGGAAGTAGCGCAGAGCGATGTGCTTCGTTCTGTGCTCCAGTCTGTGCTCCTGACACAAGGCAAGCATGGCCTTGTTGTCAACGTACAGAACTGGAGGAGAACGAGGCGCCTCTCCCAAGTCGGTCAGCAGGTAGGTGAGCCAGTGTAACTCCTGTGCAGCCATGGCCCCAGCCTAGATCTCAGCCTCACAACTGGAGCTGAGAACAGAAGACGAGCGGGTAGACCGCCACGAAACAGAGCCGGAACCAAGGCTGAAGGTGTAACCCTGTGACGACCGCTGAGTAGCCAAGTTGTCAACCCAAGAAGCGTCTGCGTGACCAGTGAGGACAACTCGAGCCCGTCCTCCAAGCACACGCCCCATGCCCGACGTACTGCACAAGTAGCGCAACACCCTCTTAGCTGCATCCATGTGCTCTGGTCAGTGTCTCCCAGGAGCAACATAGCATGCCAAGATGCTAAGAGGGTATGCCAGGTCAGGTCGAGTGCAGGTCATCAGGTACATGAGGCAGCCAACAAGCTCTGGGTACGGGCCACTCGGCTCTACGGACTCATCCGAAGGCAGAGGTGAGAGCAAGTTGCGAGTAGACAGAGCAGTGACCTGAGGCGAGGAGTACGTGAAGTTGAAGCGCTGAAGGACCTGCTGCACCATGTGTGACTGAGTCAAGGTAATGGTGCGCCGTGCTCTGTCCCGGGTGATCTGCAAGCCAAGATAGCTGCGCTGTTCACCTAGGTCTGTGCACGTGTGTCTCTTTTGGAGCTCCGACTTCACGTGGGCCAGTCCAGCAGTGTCAGCAGTAGCAAAGACCAAGTCGTCGACGTACACGAGGATGTTGAATTGCGGCAGAGTGGTGTCGGTACGGAGAAACAACGACGGGTCAGCAGTGGAAGGAGCAAACCCAAGAGCCGCAAGCGTAGTCCTCAGTGTGTCGTGCCACTGACGGGGCGCCTGGCGGAGACCGTAGACTGGCCGCCGGAGGCTCCACTGGGTACCTGCAGGAAACGACCCAGTGAAGCCAGGTGGGCGGCGCAGCCAGATCTCCTCGTGAAGGCTGCCCTGTAGGAAGGCTGTGGTGAAGTCAAGAGAGTAAAGCTCGTAGTCACGCTGAGCAGCGACGTGCAGCAGTACCCGAAGAGTGGTCATCTTCGGGGTGGGAGAGAAGGTCTGAAAGTAGTCAACTCCCTGCCGCTGACTGAAGCCTCGAGCCACGTAATGCGCCTTGAAGACAGGCGGAGAACCCGGCGGCCGCTTCACCCTGAAAATCCACATGCCATCGACAATGTTCGCCCCAGGTGGGGGAACCTCGTCGACGTAGGTGCCTGTGGACTTCCAGGAAGCCATCTCTGCGTCCATGGCTGTCTGCCACTAAGAGGAGTAGGGACCCTCTATCGCCTTTGCGTAAGAGCGCGGGGTCGGGATGTCTGGTGCATCCGGGTCTCCCTCAGGGGCAAGCAGCATGGACACGAGATGAGGTAAAGCAGAAGCAAAATACTGGAACTCCTCTTGCTTGTCCTCAAGGACGTCCATGCTAAGAGCACACTCACCCCCGACGGACGGAGGACAGTCAGACTCAGACTTAGCAACAAGACTAGCGGCGTAGTCCAAACGACAGTGAGCAGCAAAGTTCACAAGCTCAGCAACCAAGGCAGACGCAGCAGTGGACTCAAACGAAGGGTCAGTGACAACAGTAGCGAGAAGACGCGTGACAGTAGGACTGGCAGCATGAGCAAGGTGTGACGGCGCGCCAGAAAGGGCAGGAAGAGAGGATGCAGGAGG